TGTGGTGTTGGAGAAGACTCTTGAGAGTCCCTTGGACTGCAAGGAGATCCAACCAGTCCATCCTAAAGGAGATCAGTCCTGGGTGTTCATTGGAAGGACTAATGCTGAAGCTGAAACTCCAGTACTTGGGTCACCTCATGCAAGGAGTTGACTCATTGGAAAAGACCCTAATGCTGGGAGGGATTGGAGTCAGGAGGAGAAGGGGACGACAGAGGATAAGATGGCTGGATGGCATCACTGACTCGATGGGCATGAGTTTGGGTAAGCTCCAGGAGTTTGTGATGGATAGGGAGGCTTGGTGTGCTGGGATTCATGGGGTTGCAAAGAGTCGACACTACTGAGTGACTGAACTGACTGATTACTCCATTGAGTATTTGTGCAATCAGTCCTCTTCTGGTGAACATTTAGACTGTTTCCAATAGTTTGTTATTACAAATAATGCTACAATGAACACTCCTTATGCTTCTTTATTTTGAAGACAGAATGGCAGCCCACTCAAGTATTCTTGTCTGGGAAGCCCATGGACAAAGGAGCATGGCAGGTTACAGTCCATGGGGTCACAAAGAGTCAGACGTACAGCTTATCAACTAAACTACATCTTTAGAACCTATCCTACAAGTGTAATTACTGGGTTTATATAAAGAGTTCTTTATATTTTGCAAAGATGACCCCTTTATCTGTGATATGAGCTGTAAATATATTCTTCCAGCCTGTCATTTTTCTTTTAACATTGTTTATGGTGCTTTGTTTTGTTTGCCATGAGAAAGGAATCTATTTTTGTATATAGTCACATGTGTCAGTCTTTGTTTCTGGATTCAGAGAGTTACAAAGGTTTTCCTCAGTTCCAGACTATAAGAAAATGTACCCATGTTTTCATCTGATATTTTTATGGTTTGATTCTTTACATTTACCTCTCATATTTTTGGATTTAATTTTGCTATATTAAAAAAAAAAACATGTTTCTTTCCAAATGGATATCTGGAGAGCCAATCTTATTTATTTAAAATGTCTCCTTTTTCCTCACTGATTTGAGATGCCATTTGAATAATATATTAAACTCTTATATATGTTTGGGCCTATTTCTTGTCTCTCTGTTCCACTGGCCTGTCCATTAATGGAATAGTACTGCATTGTTTAATTACTATAAAGGCTTTATGGTATGTTTTAATAACTGATGTGGCCAGGATACATCTATTACTCTTTGAGGGGTGGGATTTTCCTATCTATTTTAACTTATTTATCCATATGCACTTTAAAATCAACTTGTCTAGCTACAGAAAAGCAAACAAAAAAGCATGTATTATTTTGATTTCTAACTAAAGTTAAATTTATGTATTGAGAATTGGCATTTTTACAGTACTGAGTTTATCTATCCAAGAATAAGAAATGGTTTTGTATTCAAGTCAACTTTTGCATTTTTGAGGTACATTTTAAGGGTTTCATTGTAGGCTTTGCACATTTCTCATTAAGTATTTCTTTTTATTGTTTTGCTTATACCATGCCACTCATTGGTAATTTCATATGTGAAAACCATTGATTTGCAAGTTAATTTTATATCTTATTACTTTGCTGTACTGCTTTATTTACATATTACTTTAGTGGTATTGATATATTAGGTTTAGTTTTGATATTCTGATGTTTTGATATTCCATGGAAACATTCAGGTCATCCATATAAAGATGTTTTTGCCTTTGCAATTCTGATTCCCCTCATTGTTTTATCTGATTACTTTGCTCTTTTCACCAATATTAAAATATAACGGAGATAGTAGGTATCTTATTCCTTTATTTCGTTCTTACTTTCCTTTGATGGGAATGCTTATAGTATTTCCCTGTTAAACAAGATGCCAGATTTTACTTTTTAAAAAATCAGTGTTCACCTTTGTCAAAGGCCTTTTCATCATCCATGATTATATTTGTCCTTAGATCTATTAATATTACTGTGTAAATTCTATGAACAGACTTCCTAATATTGAACCATCTTTGTATCAGTCATGCTGTATCTTAAAAATGTGCTATAGATTCTGTTTATTAATATTTTATTTAGGACTTTACTTAGTACTCAATATTCATATGTAAGATTGGTTTGTAGTATTTTTGTGCAATCTTTGTCAGATTTAGGTATCAATGTTATATTAGCTTCATGAAAAGAAACTGAATTTTCCTTCATTTTCTATATTTTGGAACACTTTACATAATGTTAGGGATTACCTGGCCTTTAAAATATTTGGTAGATTCTCCTGAAACCATGTAACAAGTAGTCCCTTGATAACTCTATTCCCTCTTCAGAAATTATTTTCACTTTCTGCCTCTACTAGGACTTCAGTATATTCTATTTTTCTATGAAATTAATCATTTATTTAAAAAATTCACTTGTACCAAGCTATGTATAGTAATTCTATTAGTTTGCTTGAATATTCTGTTTCAGTGGCCATTTCTCCCTTTTATTTATTCTTTTGGTATTTGTGCTTACTCTTTCTTGATTAGGTAAGCTAGGGATTATCTTTTTCTTTTTTTTCCTTGAGAACCAGCACTTATCAACTCTATTACTTATTTTATATCTAATTACTTTCTGCTTTAAAGTTTATTAAAAATTTCTGAAAAAGAATAATTGTCAGAGTTTATGGAAATTCAATTAAATCAGTGATGGGGAAATCCATAGTTTTTAAATATTTTATGTGAGAATTAAAATCAGTGAATTATTCAACTCAAAAAAGAAAGTAAACAAGAAGATGGAAAGCAGTAAAGATAAAACCCCCAAAGTAAGACCTTTTTCAAGTCCGATGTTGACAAGACAGAACCAAGTGCCAGCACATTCTCTTTGATTAGCTCCTGAATTTCAACTGCTGTGGGAGGATGGAATCCTGGAACAGTCTTTGGATTCCATGAGTTCTGACCCAGGTGCTGGGTGACAATCTCCTCTGGTGGCCCAGGCATTCTAACCAGAGACAGAACAGAATGCAGTTTCTCCATATGGATCTTTACACACTCTTTAATATTAGTAACCCATTACGCAGCATGAGAGGCAGCACTGATGCAACTTGATCTCTACTAATAACTTCTGTCTTTTTAAGTGTGATGTTAGATCATAAATTTTTAATTTTTTTAATTTAAGTATAGTTGATTTACAATGTCATGTTAGTTTCAGGTATACAACACAGTGATTCAGTTATATATATATATATATATATGCTTCCCTTGTGGCTTAGCTGGTAAAGAATCTGCCTGCAATGCAGGAGACCTGGGTTTGATCCCTGGGTTGGGACGATCCCCTGGAGAAGGGAAAGGCTACCAACTCCAGCATTCTGGCCTGGAGAATTCCATGGACTGTATAGTTCATGGGGTTGCAAACAGTCAGACACGACTGAGTGATTTTCACTTCACTTCATGTATGTACATACATACATCTATTTAAAATTCCTTTCTACGTTATTACAAAAATTTTTTCTAAATAATTTTATTTTTGGCTGTGAGGTCTTTGTTGGGCAGGCTTTTTTCTCTAGTTGTGGAGAGTGGGAGCCACTCTATAGTTACAGTGCAAGGGCTTCTCATTGTGGTGGCTTCTCTAGTTGCAGAGTATGGGCTCTAGGACACACCGACTTCAGTAGTTGCAGCTCCCAGGCTCTAAAGCATAAGCTCAATATTTGTAGCACATGAGCTTAGTTACATTAAAATTAAAGCTAAAGTTAAATATAATATGTAAATGTCAACAGGTTTATATTAATCTCAGCAAATAAGTATACGATTTTATGTTTGCCAATGTTGAGTACTTATTTCCTGAAATCTTATCTACCCTCTTCAGTTTCAATTATATTTGACAGACATTAATGGGGAAACAGTGGCAGACTTTATTTTGGGAGGGGGGGAGCTCCAAAATCACTGCAGATGGTGACTGCAGCCATGAAATTCAAAGATGCTTACTCCTTGGAAGAAAAGTTATGACCAACCTAGACAGCATATTAAAAAGCAGAGGCATTACTTGCCAACAAAAGTCCATCTAATCAAAGCTATAGTTTTTCCAGTAGTCATGTATGGATGTGAGAGTTGGACCATAAAGAAAGCTAAGAACCAAAGAATTGATGCTTTTGAACTGTGGTGTTGGAGAAGACTCTTGAGAGTCCCTTGGACTGCAAGAAGATTCAACCATTCCATCCTTAAGCAAATCAGTCCTGAGTGTTCACTGGAAGGACTGATGTTGAAGCTGAAATTCCAATACTTTGGCCACCTGATGCAAAGAACTGACTCATTTGACCCTGGGATTAAGAGTCCCACGTTCTACCGACTGAGCTAGCCAGGCGCCTTGACTCATTTGAAAAGACCCTGATGCTGCGAAAGATTGAAGGCGAGAAGAGAAGGGGATGACAAAGGATGAGATGGTTGGATGGCATCACCGACTCAATGGACATGAGTTTGAGTAAACTCCAGGAGTTGATGGTGGACAGGGAGGCCTGGTGTGCTGGAGTCCATGGGGTCGCAAAGAGTCAGACACGACTGAGCAAATGAACTGAACTGAAATGAAGAGCTGACCAGAGAAAATATTTATAACAAATGAAAAGAGAGCACATATAAGTATAGATACAATAATGACTTAACTCTGTAAAACAAAATATAAATATGCCATATTTTATACACCAAAATACTTATAGTGGTAGTAACTCTATGAAGGCAAGAATCCTTGTCTTACTCATCCTTGTAGTGCCATCTTATAGAAAAGTACCTGGTACAAAGTATGTGTTCAGTAAGTGCTTGCTGAAAAAAAATAAAAGTGAATAAGTTCTCAGAAAAAAGGGGTACTCAATCAAGTAAATATATGAAATTTTAATATCTTTTTCATCTGAAACATACAAAGTTCTAAAGATAAAGTCAATACCTAATTAAAATCTTCTTATGTAACTTCATTATTACAAACTTAAGTCTTGAGTCAAAGATCCAAATCTAAAAATATAGTCTTAAAAATCATGTATCTACATATAATACTAAGACAAGTAAACTGTCTCAGGCTGTATCATTATCATCCACTGCAGCATAGATGGCTTGATTCCTTCTCTTGATTTTCTTTCTTTGTTCAGGTTCATGTTCATCACTCAGCCTCTTCAATGGCACCGTGGTTAAGTCCTTTCCATCCCCCAAGTCCACAGGGTCACCGGAATTCCCCTCCTTGCACACTGGGGAACCTGATGTATCGTCAGAAGATACAGTCATGGAACTTGGCAAGATCCTGATGTCAGAGAAGCTTGCAGAAAAGTCAGAAGCTTGTTCAGAAGACAGTTCTACAGATGGTATATTCAAGTCACTCTGTACACTTACAATACTGTCATCATACTCCTCTTCTTCATCTAACATGATCTCATCTGGATTAATAGAGGACAGGGCAGATGTGTCTGTGTTATATTCACTAGGCTCTTCTCCAGAGTCATTACCCTCCACGTCATCCTGCCCTTCATAGTCACCACACAAGTGTTGGTCTTCCTTGGCCTTCTGAAGCCTGACGTTAATGTCTGTGATGCCAAGTTGGGCACAAAATTCAGTCGTCTGAGGATTGATCCTATGAACCAACTGCATCTGTGTCTGTGGCTTGCTAGGGTCATAACAAGCAGCTGTTATACTAAAGTTATTTGGAACTTTGAGATCATGATTTAATTTCTCCAATACTTCGTTAATAGCTTCTTTTGTGGCACTGTAATCCCATCTAAAAAGTCCAAAACAATAGCTTTTTACATTTTATCAACTTCAGCAATAAACGATGAGATCTAACTATAGACTGCAGGTGCAAGAATTAAAAAATTAACCACAGTTCAAAATTAATAAAATTATAGTTAACTTAGCAAAGGGCCATTTTTGAAATTAAAACCGTTCTTAGAAAAAGTTGTCCTTAACTCACACCCTAAAACAAGTACAAATTATTTTAATGTGTGAACCAAATCTCCACCATCTTACAGTTTGATGCACTTATACACTTGTTAGAGCTGGTGCTCAGCAGTCCATTTTCTTGGATTTCTTAGATGGAAAACGTGCAGTTTTCATACCAATCGGTAAACTCTGAATTGTTCTGACAGTCGTTTAACAATAACTCCTTTGATTAAAAAAATTATAACAAGGTGGAGGGGACAAAAACTGTGCATACACTGGAGACAGCAAATCCTGAATAAGGCCAGACCTACCTTGTATGCAGGCCATTATTTTCAGGCATATTCCACAGGCGTTCAGTCACATTAATAAGATCATTAGTAGCCCTAAGAATAGTGAGCCATTCAGCATCATATTCCAAGTAATCAGGAGCACTGGGGTCATGTTCTACTTCTATTACCTACAGGAAGAAATAGGTATTTTAAGAAATACATACCCATTCTTATATTCTAGGAATATCAATATAACAATACAGTTTAGGAATTTAATTTAGTAGCTTAAAAACATTAACATAACTTAAACATTCCCAAGGAAATCTCAGAATATATAAATTACAAAGAACAACAATAAATTCTGAAAGAATAGTAATTTTTTTTTTTAATCATTAGAAGAGCAAACTACATGGCAAAGCTATTTCATTTTCTCTTTACCTGAAGAAAGTCTCTGTGTGGTAAGCACTTGTCCAGGGCTAGAAATTTGGTTGCTCTGGTTGACTGTCCTTCATCCATGGTCTAGAAAATATGAACCATGATTTAATAAAGAATGTTGAAACATCACCTCAGGTGGGTGGGGTGGGGAGGGAGAGGTCACATGTATACCTACGGTTGATTCATGATCATGTATGGCAGAAACCAACACAACATTGTAGAGCAATTACCCTCCAATTAAATACTAAAAAAACATCCAAGGCAAGTCATACATCGAATAGGACGGAAATAATCTTTATTACCCATACCTCTAAGTTGTGTGTTAAAGGAACAACTGTCACTTTTCCAAAAACAAGTTAGCTCTATTTCTACTTGTACAATGGCAAGCAAGGCACTTACATTCTCTGGGCTTCAATTTCCTTACAACAGGACTTCCCTGGTGGTCCAGTGGTTAAAAGTCTGCCTGCCAGTGCCGGGGACACAGGTTTGATTCCTGGCCCAGGAAGATCCCACATGCCACAGAGCAACTAAGCCGGGGTGTTCCAATTACTGAGCCCACACACCGCAACCACTGAAGCCCACACACCGCGAGGAATCCAGGAAAAGCAACGAAGACCCAGCACAGCCAAAAGAAAAAAAAGTCCTTACAGTAGTCAAAGCAGAAAGTAACGGTGGTAACGATAACGTTAAAGCAAATAACACTCACAAACCAAAAGCATATAACACAAAGGTTAAAGACCAGACAAGAGAAGAGCTTAAAAGTAAACTGGCAGAGCTAAAACCATAAAACTTGTAGAAGAATTAATAGAAAATTTTTGTAATCCTGGGTTAGGCAAAGATTCTTAGATATAACACCAAAGTAGATATATATATGTATATATATCCATACAATAAAATATTATTCACCAATAAAAATGATAGAAAGAGTGACACATGCTACAGGAATGATCCTCAAAGCAAGCAAAAGAAAGAAACCAGAAACCAAAGACTATATATTTTATGATTCCACTTAAATGAAATGTTCAGAAAAGATAAATCCACAGAGATAAAAAGTGGTTGGCTGCAGCTGAGGGCAGGAACACAGACTGACATCAAAGAGGCACAAAGGATCTTCTGGGGTGATGGAAATGTTCTAAAATTGGATTATATATGATGTTTGCACAACTCTGAAAATTTACTAAGAATCACTGAATTCTACACTTAAAATAGGTGAATTTTTTGATATGGAAATAAAAATCCAATAAAGCTCTTTTTAAAAAGTGAACTGGCAGAAAGCAACATGGGGGGATCACAACCATGAAAGTCACAGTGGAAGAAGTAAAAAGTGACTCACTAAGAACAGCAAGGAAGCAAGCTCTTCGACACCCTGCTGAGAGTTTTTATTTCGTGGTGGGGAGGGAGTGGGTGGTGGGAAGCACGGAGACCATGGGCAGATCCGTGAGGTAGGGTGGTTCTGAGGAAGGATGATCTCTGGTATTGGTTAAAGAGCTCAAACAGAAGACTGGTAAAGTCAGAAGTGCCAAGAAAAAGGATATCAAACATAGCTTTAATTCAGAGACACAAGCTCCTGAGGTTGATACCAGAAGACTGAGTTGGGCAGGTGGGGGCGGGGATGGAGTATCAAGCCAGGTGCTTCAGTAACAGTCCAAAAAAGTCACAAGCCCAGAAGAGATTAACAGCGATGCCGGGCAGGTGACTGATAGAAACAGAAGACTTGGAGGTGAGGATAATCACGTTGGCAACAGCCCAAAGGAAAATGAAAGAGGTCACCTCGCCTCCTTCCCCCAGTGAAGTTGGGAAGTGAGAAGAGAGGGCCCACAGGCATGTTTTCAGACAGAACCTTTCAGACTGTGTTTGATGAGCATTACTGAAGTACGCCTCTACCATAGAAGAAGATTTGGTCCAGTAAGTTCAGGAAGCGCTGCACAGCCCATCCCTGATCCTGGAGAAAGGTGATGCCCATTAGGACATTAAGGACTCTCAGGTTGACTTCCCAGGTGGTCCAGTGGTTAAAAAATCCACCTTCCAATGCAAGGGACACAGGGGTTAGGGTTAGGGTTAGGGTTAGGGAAATAAGATCTCATGTGCATGGGGCAACTAAGCCCACATTGCAACTACTGAGCCTGAGAGCATGCTCTGGGGCCCATGAACCATAAACCAGAGAGAAGTCCAAGTGCCATGCACAATCCCATGTGTTGCAACTAAAACCCAGTGCAGCCAAATAAATAATAAAGATGCTCAGAAATTCTAGAGAAGCTTCTGAGAAGGTATCTGTGTTAACCCAGCGTTTTCTAAACATTTTCCCTAGGGAATACTTTATGGGAAAGTCAGAATTAAGTCAGAATTGGAAGTGAAAGGAAGAACCATGTATTTCCATAAAAGCCTAGCTCTGAAGTCTATATTATCTACCTGCCATCAAGCACAATCAGCTATGCAGTTACCCAAGGAGCACTCTGGGAGTTTTCCTTCCTCTGTCACTAAATCCTGATGATTCTGCTTCCAAAATCTCTCTGGAGCCTGTTTCGTTCTGCATTCCCTTTTTGCCATAGGTTAGAACCTCATCTTTTACTTATATAGCCCCCTCTGTCTCCCACTTTACATACTCCAAGCCACACACAAAACTGTTGCCAAACTAATCCTTCTGAAATGAAACTCTGATGTCATTATCTCCCAACTTTCCCAAACTCCAGGGCATGGCTGGAAGGCAGCTATGATCTAGCTCCAGCTCTATCTTGCCCTGTGCCTCAGCCCTAGAGACAAATTGCACTTCCCCAAAGACACCACACTCTCAGACTTACAGCCTGTGCACACACTGACCCCTCGGCCTAGATTACCCTGATAACCTGCTTCTTCCTGGCAACATCAATTCCTTTAGAAAACCTCCTCTATCCCTTCATCTCTCTGTCCGAATCCTCATCTTACCATGGCCTGGTTTAGGAGTTCCCACAGTACCCTAGCACTTTTTGTCACAGACTTACTACACTATTCTATAATTGACTGCTTGTCCCTTCTCCCGATTGGATGCTGAGTTACTCACAAAAGGAAACTTATCTTTGATTTCTTTCACTAACTTCCCAACTGTGCCCACAGATGTTCAGTAAGTGCTTATTAAATCAAAGAATAAACATTTTGGTTCCTACCTGGTGCTGCATCAAGGCTGCAAACTTTACGTGGAGGTGGGCAGAAAACCAGTAAGTAGGTTTTAAGTGCTCTAAAAGCTCGGAGGCAGCAGGACTTCCTAGTGTGTTATTTTCCACTTCTTGTCGGAAAAAAGATTTAGTCTTAAGAAGTTGCTTCTTGTTTCCATAATGATAGATACTTCTCGGCCAATCATGAGATAAGAATATGTCCATAGGCTGCTTCAGCTTTAACAGAAAAAGAAAAGAAAGCAAGCTCTTAAAAGGAGATTAAACAAAAGGAATTCCCTGCCTTCCTTCTGCTACCACACAACCACTTACCCACGGAGTTCTCTAGGTTTCAGTTTAATTCATCCTAGGGACACTTTAATGAAGTTTCAGAAATACTGAGCTACTCACTCATCAAGGCAAAGAGAAATAACTTTCTCTCTACCTCATAAATGATCCTTATTTTCTATGGCAAGGCAGCTCAGTAGAGACACACTTTGATTAGACTGCCAGGCTCAGTTCAGCCTAGCAGGCTACCACTTAACAGTGCGGGAAGTCTCTGGCAGGTGACTTTACCTAACTGAGCCTTGGCCTCTCACCCTTAGTGTGACAAAGTTGAGTAATATCTATCTCACAGAATCTGAGTGACATTTATATGAACTATCACAGATGAAAATTGCTAGCCCAGTGTCAAGCACTGAAAAGCGAAAGTGAAAGTCAGCTCAGTCGTGTCCAACTCTTTGTGACCCCATAGGCTACACAGCCCATGGCACTCTCCAGGCCAGAATACTGGAGTGGGTAGCCTTTCCCTTCTCCAGGGGATCCTCCCAACCCAGGGATCAAACCCAGGTCTCCTGAATTTCAGGCTGATTCTTTACCAGCTGAGCCACAAGGGGAAGCCCAGGCACTGAATGGGATCACAAACAAAAAGCTAGTTTTACCCACTATCCAATTAAGCCAATGTTTCAATATGACCTTCACGATTTTCCCATATCCTCTATTATCACTATTATTTTCTATTTAATATCACTATTTAAAATAAAAAAGCAATACTTTCTGTAAACTATCACTTTTTTCCAATATTCCTTACCTTAAGGAATAGTAGCTGAAACCATGGATCAAATATTTTATTATTAATCACTAAAATAAATGTATAGCCATTAAAAATTTATAAATGTTCATCTGTGAACCTCCGAAAAATAACTCAAGATCCAAATTTTAGAAATACAGAATTAAGCTCTTCTTGGAAGTAGTAGACTAAACTGATCAAAATACATTCTGGTACACAATTTCTTTACATTTTTTCAAGTCTGCCATAGTGTAGTTTTTACATACCTGTTTTAATTTGTAGACTTCAATATTTCTCACATGATATATACTCCTTATTGTAGCTGCATTATAAGGGGGGCACTCAAAATGACCTTAAAGAAGAGACGTTGTATTCACTCCTTTAAATACTGAAAATATAAATACATACATATACTTCTCCAAAACTGATGTTTGTCATCAATACTTTTGGTTCTTAAAAATTTTATTTGAAAAACCCTGGCTCTCAAAATGCTGGTATTTTCTAATAAGTAAACACAAAGTGTAAATCTAAATGATTAGAGGGGCTTCTGATTTTTAAATTAAATTATATTTAATTTTGGAATACACTGACACTGTTTATTCACATAGTTTAAGATTTGAAAGATATCACATGAAAGGTATAGGGGAAGGTGAAAGAGAAGTAAGGGAAGGATGGATGGGGAATTTGGCATATGGCATGTGGGATCTTAGTTCCCTGACCATGGATTAAACCTAAGCCCCCTGCAGTGGAAGCTTGGAGTCTTAACCACTGGATCGCCAAAGAAGTCCCTATATCATGATATACTTAACTAGTTCCCATCTTTTGCTATTACAAAGAAGACTGAAATAAATAAATTTGTTTATATCATTTTGCACTTGTGGACTATATCTGTAGATAAGTTCCTAGAAGTAGAATTCCTTGGTCAAAATACTTGTATAATTTCCACAGATATTACCAATTATCCTCCAAAGAATGGTTTCTATTTGCACTACACCTGCTACATATGAGATGGCCTATTTTTGTAGACCTGTTCCAACAGTTTAGAACAGGGAGCAGGGCAGCAAGGAACAGACTTGAACTTAACAATTACACTGAGGATATAAATTTTAGCTGCCAACCTAATTCATGAAAGTTTAAATCAATGGGAATCCAAGCTATTTCTTTAAAATCAAGGTATGATTCATTCAGATACAGTGTGGTATATTTATACAGTGAAATACTATTCACAAATTAAAATGAATACAGTTACATGTATCAACATGGATTTCAAAAACATATAAACAAACACATTGCAGAAAAATATATGTAAAATGATACACTTATAATGAAGTTTAAAGTATGCTATATAATATATTGTTTAAAGCTATTAACTGATACGGTAATGACATAAAATATCAAGTGAATGATAAACACCAAATTCAGAATAGTGACTCCCTGGTGAAGTAAGAGAGGAATAAAGGGGAGAGATGGGACTGATGACAGACAAAGAATGAATTTTGATTGTATCTGCACTCCTTTTTTTTCTTAAAAATCAAAACTGAAAATGGCAAAATACCAAATAAAACTAAATGGTGGATACACAGATGATACATTCTAATGTTCTGTATGTTTTCATATGTATATGATATTTTATAAATTTAACAATAAATCTGTTCATAGAAGAAATTCAATGAAAAAGTCAAACTATATATTACATTTAAGTTACTCTGCAGCATACAAGTTCTAAAGTGTAAAAACAATTCTCAAGGGACCACCCTAGTGGTCCAGTGGTTAAGAATCCACCTTTCAAAGCAGGAGACATAGGTTTGATCCCTGGTTGGGGAACTAAGGCCTCACAGCCACGAGGCAACTAAGTCCACAAGCCACAACTAGAGAAGCCCCCACAATGAAACTAGAGACACCCTCACACCACAACAAAGACTAGAGCAGCCAAAAAATAAAATAAAAATTTTAAAATAATAATAAAAATAAATAAGAAGAAATTAAAACAATTTTCAGAATAACAATACCCACTTAGCTGTACACCTGAAATTAATGTAACAATGTAAGTCAAGTATACTTCAATTTTTAAAAAAAGAATGTAACGTTTTCTGTTGTTTTTTTTTTTAAAGGATAATAATACCTTTTCGATAGTCATGAGACTTAAAGATACCAGAGATTCCACCAATCCTTACTCCTCGGTATTTTACTACTCCTGCCAAACCTGAAAAATTACACAATTAAATAAAATTACTATGGGAAAAAGCAATCTCTTTACTAACTGAACGGTTTAGAGGCCAAGAATACCATTCAGTCCTAAAATTATGTGAAAATTGAGTATCATGACGAGGTTACCCTTTTACATAGAAATATGCAAACAATATATAAGGTGGACTAGGGAGAGGGGACTAGAAGCAAACCAGGCAAGAAACTGAGCAGAGAGAAAGGAACAAACGAGACAGGGTGTGTGAAGAGGGAAATTGCTGTTTTGTTGTATCGTCATTAAGTCCTCATCGACTGTTTTGTGACCCCATGGACTGAAGCCTGCCAGACTCCTCTGTTCATATGATTTTCCAGGCAAGAATACTGTAGTAGGTTGCCATTTCCTTCTCCAAGGGGTCTTTCTCACCCAGGGATCAAATTCATGTCTCCTGCATTGGCAGGCAGATTCTTTACCACTGAGTCACCTGGGAAGCTTGGTACCTAATGGAATATGGGGATGGGGTGGGAGAAATAGGGGAAATGTTCTATGATGGATTTATATGTTATAAACCTGAAAGTCAAAGGTGTAAAGTATAAAGAACCTGCAGTTTCTATATTTCATTTCTGATTGATCATCTTCAATTGCACCTTTTCACAATACTACAATTGTCAAAAGAAGATCAATCAGTAATAAAGAAGAATGAAGTTTCTAAAGTTTAGAAACACCTGTAAACATTTAAATAAAGACATGAAAGGACTGTATAGTTCAAAAGGATTAAAAATGAACCTGAACCTAATCAGGACTATAAACCTAAATGCAAATTACAGGAAACACACAGGATAAAACGAGTGCTAAACAACACGAGGGAATCCAATCAGCTAAACCTAGAAAGCAGGAAAGTCTATTACAGCCAGATAAATTCCCCATTTTCTTCAACAAATAAATAGCATGGGGGGTGGGGAGGAAAGTGAAAAGGGACAGTTATGAGATTTCAGAATCACGACAATCAAATAAAATGTGCGACCTTGTTTAGATCCTATGTGAATAAGTCAACTGTAAAACAGACTTCTTTGTGATAATCAGGGAAATATGAACATAAACTAGGTAACAGATAATAATAGATAACTGGTATAATCCTGGTACTGTAGTAGTGGCATTTATAAAAATCTTCATCACTTAAAAATATGTGCTAAAGTATTTACAGGTGAAATAATCTGATGGCTAAGATTTGCTTTAAAATACTCCAATCACCTCCTCCCACAAAAGAGTTCAGTGGGGAGTGTGTTGAAAGAAGGAACACAGAATGATAATCATTGTTAAAGCTGGTTAACAGGTACAGAGATTCATTATACTGTTCTCTATTTTATGAATGTTTAGCAATTTCCATTATTAAAAATTTGCTTTTTTAATTTAATAAGAGGAATAGGAAAAATATAAAGAAAATGCAAATAGTGTGGAAGCTCTTTGCAGTTACATTAAGTATTGCTTAAAACACTAAATGATGCACGGGCATATTCTCAAGATTGCCTACTTATGTGAAATATTTTAGTTAAATTTTCATAATTAACTATTTAAATCAAGAGAGTCCCCAAACACCACACATCTCAAGATGTTGATCAACTGATATACAAATCCTGGCAGGCTCTTCCATGCCATCAGACCAAGAAATTACCTATAAATACATACCTAAATAATAAATGTTTGGTGCTACCCAGCCACCATAGGGTAACTCTTGCAAATGTTTGCAGTTACATTAAGTATTGCTTAAAACACTAAATGATGCACGGGCATATTCTCAAGATTGCCTACTTATGTGAAATATTTTAGTTAAATTTTCGTAATTAACTATTTAAATCAAGAGAGTCCCCAAACACCACACATCTCAAGTTGTTGATCAACTGATATACAAATCCTGGCAGGCTCCTCCATGCCATCAGACCAAGAAATTACCTATAAATACATACCTAAATAATAAATGTTTGGTGCTACCCAGCCACCATAGGGTAACTCTTGCAAATGATTTGAGGCTTCGTGGTTTCCCCCAATGAAAATCGTGAGAACTGGGGCCTTTTTCTCCCCAGAGTAATACCTAGAACATAAAGGTAAAAGTTGTCAATTGGTATTGCAGAAATGAGACACAGAGAAAAGCAAGTGGGCATGCCTTATACAATTAGTCACAGCACAAAAGCAAAATGATCTCAAGGAAAAAAATCTGAGCTCATCATAAAAACTTTAAAAGCTCTTCCTAAACGAATTCCCCATCCTTAAGAATGAAGAGCTGCCACTTTGGGTTTCAAGCCAACGTATGTTCAGTGAGGTCAAAAACTTTTGTCAGTTCACTGCTAAAACCTTTGTTTCCAGAATGAGGACTGTGCTGTGTTTAGTCCTCAGCCGTGTCCGACTCTTTGTGACCCCATGGACTGTAGCCCGCCAGGCTCCTCTGTCCATGGAATTCTCCAGGCAAGAATAATGGAGCGAATTGCCATGCCCTCCTCCAGGGGATCTTCCCAACCCAGAGATCGAACCCAGGTCTCCTGCATTCCGGGCAGATGCTTTACCGTCTGAGCCATAGGGCAAGCCCTGAATGAGGACTAGCACACAGCAAGAGTCCAATAAAAACTCTTGGATCATTAAATGAACAAGTCCCAGAATCTTATGCATTAAGGTAGATGAACCTGTCAATTTCTTTCTTCAGGTGTCCCTCTCAGGCTGCGATTCCTTTCGAAACAAATAAAACAGATGAACGGAAAGAAGAAAAGTGACATTTACTAAGCGCCACTTCCTAGATACACAGCGTGAACAAAGACGAGAAACGAGAACTAAAAGAGACAGCTGGTCAGTGGTAGGCAGACGAGATTGGAACCCAGCCCCCACCGCTGCTGCCCCACACCTCGTACCGCGGGCCGGACCGCGTCCCTTACCTGTAGAAGGTTTGCATGTGGCGGTACTTGGGCGGCACGGCCATGCAGCGCAGGTCGGCCTCGTTGCGCACTGCCTGGAAATCGCCGCAGCAGAGCAGAAGGTCTATCGGCCCCGGGCCGCGCCGCTCCGCCAACGCCAGGGTCTCATAGATCTTGTCCAGCTCGCCGTGGCAGCAACCGGCCACAGCCACGCGCATCCTGCCGGTCCGAAGAGGGGAGCGCTGCCCGCAACCTCTTAATCAGAGACAGCCCAGGACAGACGGCGAAGACCAGACTGAACTGAGCACCCGCCCGCCTTTCCTGACATGCCGCCTCCAGCAATTGAGTCTCCAGTAGTATAATTCACTTCCGGTTTCCAAATCTCGCGAGAAAGGGATCGGAAGGGCAAGATCCACTCAGGGATTCCAGGGAACTTTCAAATAGATTCGGATTTTGCCTGTCTTGGCGGGTTTTTGAGTCCGAATAGATTGACAGATGTTAGAAATTAAAACCAGAATAGTAAAATAAACATTCCCGGAAATAGTGTAGTTTGATAATATGAAACCAAACTTATGTACCCCTCACGGCAAAGATAATTGCCCTAAAGTGATTAGAAATTAAAAGGTTTCTAAGACACTCCAAAATAAAAACAGATTTAAAATAACACTTAAAAACCCACCAACGATTTTGAAATTATCTCTTCTAAGAGTTTCTAAAATTATCAGTTTTTAAGGGCACCGGAGACTCATTTTCCTACCAGTTGTTTGCATAACTAGATAGCAAGCTCAATGAAAGCGGAAGAATGTCTCGAAAATATCCAGGAGGGAAAAGGACCAGATTGACAATTGATGAATTAGTGGCCAAGGCAGAAACAAGTAAACAAATAAAACCCTTATGGCAAATTTAATCAAAAAAGAATCTAACTTCCTGAGATCAAACCCAGGTTTCCTGCATTGCAGGCGGATTCCCTATCATCTGAGCCACCAAGGAAGCCCAAGAATACTGGAGTGGGTGGTCTACCCCTTTTCCAGGGGATCTTCCCAAGGCAGAAACAAGTAAACAAACAAATCCTTTATGGCAAATTTAATCAAAAAATTAATCTATTCGAACTTCTCTGGTGATCCAGTAGTTAAGACTCTATTCTAACCTCTATCACCATGGATCAGCTTTACTTGTTTTTAAATTTGATAGAAATGTTAGTGTATATTATGTGTTCTTTTAAGTCTGGCTTCTTTCACTTAATACATGTGAAATTCATTCATGAATCTCATGTAACCAAGCAAGACACTATGGGGTCTTCCTAGGGCAGAGGACCACCCCACAACCAGCCCACCCCCAACCCCCACAATGTCCTCTGCCTGCACCTTGCTTGTAGAGATGCTAGCCTCCTAGGTCTACCCCAAATTCCAAAGAATACATTTAATTAAAGTGAGAAAATGTGGAAGCAAAGGGAAGCAATCAAACAAGACAAAATAATAATTGGTTAGCTGTTAAGCAAAGTCAAGGACCTTTAGTTCCTCAAGGACCATTATAGATAATATCTTGAGCCATACCTTTTGAACTGTTTTGCAGCTACTGAAACCCCAGGTGGAAGAGGTTAGCTGTATGCTGCCCACAAGCACAGAGACCTCAGGCTGGTTGGAACCAGAAGGTTGATGATATGTCTCCTGATTGCTTCACCACCAACCAGTCAGAATGTCCTTGAGCTAATCATGCACCCCACAACCCTCTCCCTCACCCTGTCTTTAAAACCCTTTCCCTGAAAGCCATCAGGGAGTTCGGATCTTTTGAGCACTAGCTATCTGGACTCCTGGCTTGGCACTCTGCAATAATTGCTGCTCTTTCCTTCCTCACAACCAATGGATTTGGCTTTACTAGAAATGGGCAAGCAGACCCAAGTTTGGTTTGGTATCATCTTTACTATGGATAGATACAGCTGTAGTCTGCTATCTTATATTACTGTGTAGCATTCCATTGTGTGAACATACCACAGTTCATGGATCTATTTTTCTGCTGAAGGACATTTGGATTGTTTCTAACTTGGGGCTGTTATGAATAAAGCCACCATTCACATTTTTGTAAAATCTTTTGGTGGACATACCACTTTTTCTCCTTGGATTATGGCCAGGAATGTAAGCTCTGAGTAATGTGATAGGTATATATTAGTCCCTCAGTTATGTCCGACTCTTTGCGACCCCATGGACTGTAGCCTACCAGGGGAGTTCTCCAGTTAAGAATACTGATTCTGTCAGATCAAAGACAGTATCTAGATAGAGGCACTCATTTTGTTTAGTCACTAAGTCATGTCCATTCTTTTGTGACTCAATGGACTGTAGCCACCAGGCTCCTCTGTTCATGGAATTTCCCAGGCAAGAATACTGGAGTGGGTTGCCATTTCCTTCTCCAGGGGATCTTCCTGACCCAAGGATCAAACCTGTGTCTCCTGCTTGGCAGGCAGATTCTTTGCCTCTGAGCCACCAGGTAAGCCAATACTCAATGATGAGCAAAATGAAAAAAGAAACCACATGTGAACTATGGAAACATGCTAAAAAGAACCTAATCTAGGGTAAAGCTGAGCAGATATTAATTAAAACTTTGTAGATACAACCAGACCTTTCTCCTCTAAATCAAGTCTGCTTGTTGAAGCGGTTGATTCCAAGGCAGAGAAAGTACATGAGTCTGGATCATCTTGTGCCACAAAACAAAGGTGTGCTCCTTGAAAATATGTGAGTTATTTTCAAATATCTTTTGATATTAATTTCTAACATAATTCCACAGTGATAAGAGAACAGACTCTGTAGGATTTCAACACCTTTAGACCATGAAATTTTTGCACCTTGTTTTATGTCCCTGGATATGTCCCCTATTTTATAGTATATGGGAACTTGAATAGAATTTGTATCCTACTGTTGTATGAAAATTGTATTTTCACTTAATTGTGCTTTTTAGGCCTACTGTATCCTTCTATGTTTCTGTATATTCACTCTAATAGTTTTTAAGAGTTTGATAGTGAAATTCCAACTAAAAGTCTTAATTTATCTACTTAAAAAATAATTGTAATATATAGTGGAACTGTATGTAACTCTGTTCTGTATTTTCCAAGTCTCCCATAAATGTGTTATCATACTTTCATAATTTAAAAAATAAAAAAGAAAGAAACAAAAAGAAAATGAAAACAGGAAGTTCTCAAAGAATCTGGAATAGCAAAATGACATTGACTGAAGGCTTTCTTACAGGCCAAATCTGAAACAATTTCAGCATCAAAATGAAATTATAGTAACAGACATTAGCTTATTGAATAAAGTAAGAATACACTATTTCATCCTGGNCTGGAGCTGAGACTCTTGTATGAAGCCAGCTGAAAGATTAAACTCTTAGCTAAACAATAGACCAGAATAGGTTTACTTTACTCAGAAAGAGGCTATAAAAGTAAAGCCTTACAACAAAAATTCAGTTGTTTCTGTCAGAACTTTGCATGAAATAATGATAATAAGTGATCCCTGAGAATTTGTTAGTACAGTCCTGCCCTCAAGAGTGTTTGGAATTTGAATTTTAACATACTGTGGTGACTCAGAATACTTGTAGATTAGGGTGCTAAATTTGATTCTAGTATAAAGATATCTTAAATAGCTGTAGCCAGACATAAATGAATATATTATCAACATGTGTAAATAATAAAATATTATTATGCATCACATATAAATCATCCACTTAGAATCCAATAAAGGGCAAAAATATGTAAAGGCAAATTCAACTAAAAACCATCTGAATGAGTTAATAAACACATGAAATGTATTCCATTCCATGTAATGCAAAAATTGGCCAACAGGAGATTCCATTCAGACAATATATGAATTCAAATTGTGAAGTTTCAATCATACTGAAGGTTGAGAATATAGCAAAACAGGGACACTCAAACATCTACAGTGTGGTACAAAACTTTTGCTGAGCAATTTGGCAAAATACAGAGATTTTGATAGTCTAAGACATAGTAATTCTATTCCTAGATTCAAAGCACATAATTGCTTTTACTCATATACACAAGTATGTATGCAAAAATATTTATAGCAACATTTTTAATAGCCAAAAGTTAGAAACCACCAACATATTTATTAAATGGAAAAAAGCAAAGATAAATCAAAGCATGTTATCCCTTTGGAATTCTATACAAAATGGCAAAAAAAAATAAGGGTACATATATAAAATAGGCTAAATCTCTATATATAACATTTAAAAGTAGAAATTATGATACTATTTTCATACCATGAACAGTATGAAAAGGCAAAAATAGGACACTGAAAGATGAACACACCAGGTTAGTAGGTGCCTGATATGTTACTGGAGATCAGTGGAGAAATAACTCCAGAAAGAATGAAGGGATGAAGCCAAAGCAAAAAAAAAAACACCCAGTTGTGGATGTGACTAGTTATAGAAGTAAAACCTGATGCTGTAAAGAACAATATTGCATATGAACCTGGAATGCTAGGTCCATGAATCAATGCAAATTGGAAGTCGTCAAACAGGAGATGACAAGTGTGAATGTTGACATTCTGGGAATCAGCGAACTAAAATTGACTGGAATGGATGAATTTAACTCAGATGACCATTATATCTACTGCTGTGGGTAGGAATCCATTAGAAGACATAGAGTAGTCATCATAGTCAACAAAAGAGTCCAAAATGTAGTACTCAGATGCAATCTCAAAAATAAGAGAAGGATCTCTTTTCATTTCCAAGGCAAACCATTCAATGTTACAGTGATCCAAGTCTGTGCCCCAACCAGTAATGCTGAAGAAGCTGAAGCTGAATGGTTCTAGAAAGACCCACAAGACCTTCTAGAACTAACACCCCCAAAAAAAGATGTCCCTTTCATTATAGGGGATTGGAATGCAAAAGTAGGAAGTCAAGACACACCTGGAGTAACAGGCAAATTTGGGCTTGGAGTACAGAATGAAGCAAGACAAAGGCTACAGAGTTTTGCCAAGAGAACGCACTGGTCATAGCAAACACCCTTTTCAACAACACAAGAGAAGACTCTACACATGGAATCACCAGATGGCCAACACTGAAATGAGGCTGATTATATTCTTTGCAGCCAAAGATGGAGAAGCTCTATACAGTCAGCAAAAACAAGACCAGGAGCTGACTGTGGCACTGACCATGAACTCCTTATTGCCAAATTCAGACTTAAATTGATGAAAGTGGAGAAAACAACTAGACCATTCAAGTATGACCTAAGTCAAAACCCTTACGATTATAAAGTATATGTAAGAAATAGATTTAAGGGACTAGATCTGATAGAGTGCCTGCTGAATTATGATACTGTACAGGAGACAGGGATCAAGACCATCCCCAGGAAAAAGAAATGCAAAAAAGCAAAATGGCTGTCTGAGGAGGCCTTACAAATTGCTGTGAAAAGAAGAGAAACAGAAAAGCAAAGGAAAAAAGTAAAGATATATTCATTTGAATGCAGCGTTCCAAAGAAAAGCAAGGAGAGATAAGAAAGATTTCCTCAGTGATCAGTGCAAAGAAATAGAGTAAAAGACTAGAATGGGAAAGACTAGAGATCTCTTCAGTAAAACTAGAACTACCAAGGAAACATTTCATGCAAAGATGGGCTCAAAAAAGGACAGAAATTGTAGGGACCTAACAGAGGCAGAAAATATGAAGAAGAGGTGGCAAGAA